CAAACCATTGCTACCCGATAGTTCACAAAACTATCTTTTTACTGTTTTCTAACAGCCTAAAAATAGCCACAAATACTCAACAAGCATTCCAGGCAGTCACTATGAATTTACTCCAAGTTGGCAAATGAAATGAGGAGGAGGATTATAAACAAACTGTGGCCACAATTTGGAGTGCCTGCCAAGAAGAATTTGAGAATAGCTATATGACTTGCTTTTGCCAGTGGCCATGCAGGAGTGTGTTAAGCACTTGCACGTGGGGGCTTGTCCTCTCTTGCTCTTTTGGAACCTAACATATGAGGATCCTTGGAACACATGGCCCATTGTCCCAGCTCCCAGTGGACATGCGAGTGGGGCCAGCCCATCCCCAGCGATCTACCAGTACACTTCAGCCCTCATGAGCTAATCAGAACTGCCCAGCTTAACATTCCAAATTTCCAAGCCACAGGATAAAGATCTAATAAATGTTGACTAAAGCTAGTCACATGATGTTCTGTACAATAGTAACTGATACAAGGTCCACTTGCTTTGATCGAGGCCAATCCTTTATTTTACAAATGAGGCACTAGAGAGAAAAGATTTGCCCATGCTCACAGAACAGACCTTGTTGGCAGTAATATGTGGAAGGAGGGTAAAGCTGAGGCCTCTTCAATCACCATCTAATAAACCTACTGTCTACTACATTCCTTCAAGATGGCTGCTCTGATTAAAAATGGGGCTTTAGGTCTAAAAGATACTGATCTACAGGATTAGTCCTTTGGGCCAAATCGGTATCCCAGTTTTTCACCATAGCTTTTAGAGTTTCCCAAGGTTGGACAGAGATAAAAACTGCTTAGCAGTGGAAGAATGACACTTATCTTTTCCCAGGTTTGAGGAGAGAGGGCATGCAGGGCTTTATGGATATATATGAACCTCCCCTTCTCTGAAAAGCCCAAGTATTTCCAGGAGCTCAGGATGAGTGATCCCATTCTCTGTCCAACAAATGTGGTGCCAGATGAGGCTTGGGCCTTAATCTGAGAGGAGGGTAAGTAGCCTGGATGTTTCCTGCTTGTAGGTGTTTTCGCTGCTCTTTTCAGAGCCCTCCAAGTCTGGGAAGTTAAGGTGGCCATGGAACCTACTAGACTACCTGTCTCACAAGCTTTGAGAATGGGTGGCTCAGCAGGACCACTGGACAAACCTTCAATGAGCACTCAGGAGACTAGGTTCTAGGAAGAGTGTCACAGTGCTGCCCTAGGCCAATTGTTCCCCATATTACACAAATGGGGAGCCAAGGCCCAAGGCAGGCAGTGATCTGCTTGACAACACAATCAAGGACTCTCACCTTCTGCGCAGTGAGGAAAGACTGGGTTTAGGGATTGAAGAGGAATCTTCCACTAAGGGTGCATTCTAGGTGATCAGAGCCAAGTTCCTTCTGAACACTCTTCATTTCGGTGGAATAAAGCCTTTTGTTTTGACCCAATGTGTCATGAACCATTTTTAAGGGGCCTATTCTCACCTCTGGCCTCAATCTGAGGGTCTTTGTCTCCACTTTAAGGGTAAGTGCCCCGTTTCTTCACAGAATTTCTTATCATCACTTGCTGCTGCTACTGCAAGCAGTCATACAAGGTCTGTGTGATATTTACTAGGTCTCAATCACACCTAGAGACAATGGTCAAGATCTTTGGTTGCCTTATGCACAATTTGGCAATGTTGTGGTTCATAGTGACACTCTTGGGCTTCAGAACACTAGCCTGCCAATGACAGCAGGCAGGAGTGCTGCCTACAGCAGGAGACATGTAATAATTCCCAGAGGATTTCCATATCCAAGAAAACCAAGCATATCCAAAAGCCCAGCTTTTATCTTTCACCAACAATTACAGCCATAAAGCTACTATGATGGCTAAGATGGTCAACTTGGTTACCTAGGATGCTCTAGCTTGACAGTTATGACAGAATCATTCCTTTGATGAGATGTAATTCCTTTGATACAATGTAATCACTTCCATTAAGAGCTCTGTTGTGAGCAGTCAATCACTTAAAAGGGAGTTTCTTTGTACATTGAACTTATCTAGACACTCAAAAAAGTTCTTTTGCTTTTTTGCTCACTATACTGGATCCTGGAGGCTCATCACCATCTGACCTCCAGTTTTTTAAGACTTGAGCCAGCTGCTTACCATACTACCTGCTGATCTTGGATGTGTCAGTCTCTGAGGCCAGCAACCTGATACCTGCTTTGCCAATCTTGGGTCTGACAGCCCTTGCAACCATGTGAGTTAAGAAATGCCATTGTACCAATATCTGAAGCACAAACATGGAACCTGCTAGTCTCTCTAAACATGAGTCATTCTTTTTTAGATAATCGAGAGAGAGAGAGAGAGAGAGAGAGATATTTATCAGTGCCAAGCCTTAAGCAAAACCTGTTTCTAGGTTCCTACCCACCCACAACTCGGTACCAATGAGAATAGCGTGCATGGTCACATTGGAATCACCCAGGACGTTGGAGAAGGGTGGGTATCTGCAACCTAAGAGTTACTCAAAAGCATTTGCTGGGGTACTTGATTCTCTCTAGGAATATAAACGTGGGGGGAAAATGGCTCAATTCACAGTGGATACAGATGGGGGGAAATGAAGTCCGGAGGACATGAGGGGCCATGGGTACACTGAATAACTCAAAGTTGCGGAAACCTGGCCCACTCTTAAGAGAACATGGTCCTTACTGGACTGTCAGCCTCACAGCAAGTCACACAGATCAAGAGTATCCTGATGCAAATCTATACCTGAAGTAAGCGGATACAAAAGCTGCTTATGCATGTGAAGGGGAAGGATATTTTATGTGGCCAAGATGTAAGGTCTGTGTGTAGGGCAGGAAAGACAGAGGAAGCAAGTAGGATCATATACTTGCTGAAGTTTTGTCCAGAATATGAGATGTCAATCAGTAAAAGGGATCTATGTAGTCAAAGGACAGGCTTAAGACTGGTGGGCAGTGGGAAATGGGGCAGAACAGCAATTAAGAAATTAGGAAGCTGGTGCAGGGGACAAAGTCAAGTGGAAACCAGTATTTTTAACCGGGGCAATAGCTGAGAAGGTGGAAGAGTGGAAGAGGGGGACTTTAGACATTTCAGAGCTGGGAAGATCACATTTAGAGAGGATCTCTGGCAGGAGACGAGGCTTCCACACTGGGGGGGGGGAAGAAAGAGTCTCTGACACTTTCACAAGCACTGAACACTGAGCCAGCAAGTTATTCTCATGTTACTAACACTTCTGACCTTCCTCTTTGGCTACTTTTATCCCTATGTTAGCTGAGACCCAGAAGGCTCAACAGGGAGGAGGGAAAGGGATGATAACAGAAGGGAGTAGAGGGATTGGCTTTCTAGTTGGACAAGAGGGTCAGGATACCTTCAAGAGCAAATAGAAACCATCTCATCTCACAACAGGTTGGGATCCAATCTCTTTATTATCACGGTCCCCCCTGCTTGTGGCACCGCCTTCTCCAAACCTATAGAAAAATCCTGGGAGTGTCCTGGGGTGGGGGGCACAAGTGTGGGGACCTCTGTGCTCTGCCCTGTGGCCTGGGCAGCACAGACAAGGAGGTGCATGGGGAAGGGGTAGGCTGACAGCTCCACCTGAAGAGAATGTAGCACTGGCTGAGATGCTTGGTGGGGAGGAGGTGCCTGCTGCCAGCGCTCCTCTACACCCACTGGGGAGATACCCAGGGGTGGGCGCCTGGCTTGGGATAGTGCACTCCCTTCTCCTGCCGGTGGCCTTCACTCCTGTCAAGCTGAGAAACAGGGAGACAAAGAAGTAACTAAGACTGACAGAAAGAGACCTTCATTATTTGATAACAGTAAAAAAAGAAAGGGCAGAGTAACATTTACATATAGAGATATGCCTGGGCTCTGGCTTCATGACTTTCTGGCCATGTAATCTTGGTCAAGTTTCTCTGCCTCTGTAAACCTCCATTTTCTCAAATGCCTAAAGAAGGTAAAACTTAGCTTCACTGATAAAAATCTTTCAAAAGGCAGCTGCAGAATTTCCAAGCCTGACTGACTGCCCTGGGAAGCCTTTCCTGTGGAATATCTTATCCATGAATGTTTCGGAATCAAGATACTTCTCTGAAAGTGCTAGCATTTGTGACCTTCCCCTACCCAAGTGTGTCTTACTCTGAACAAGGCAGCCTGAAAAGAATAGGGAGAACAAGGATTGGAGTGGCTTTTCTCCAGAAGAGATCAGGGTAGTGAATAGTGAGAGGCGTTCACCCCTGAACTGTGGCCACACATCACTCTTGTGAGACATGGGTAGTTTTCTTCACCCTTTAGCATCTCAGTTTTTACATTTTATTCAGTTTCTAAGATCACCCTAACTTTGAAGGGCTGCTAAAGGTGAAATCAGATCTAGCAGGTACAGCTCTTGGCACACAGGAACTTCCTCCCCACTACAGGATCAAGTCCAAGTGTTTCAGCCCAGCATGTAGTCACCTTCATAAATGGTCCTTTGATGATGGGCATCTTCGTCTCCCTGTCCTGCAAAGCTCAGCCTATACCTAGAGGTAGCTTTTAGCCATTTCTGCATACCTAGGACTATCACAGCTCTGTGCCTCTGCTTATGCTGTGCCCCTGGTGTGGAATCCTCCTTCAATCACCAGCAGATGGTGCCAAACAACACTTTTTTTCATCACAGCTCTGACACCATAGCTCAATCAGGTTCCCTCTCTGGCACTCAGTTTCTGAGCTTTCTTCTACTGCCGTCCTGCTCACCACTAAGTGACAATGATTTGTGTAAACTTCCTTCAGCTGTGCGATGCTCAAGGGTACAGTCATGCAGCATGGCTCTGAATGAGCTACGGGGACCATTACTGAGTGGGACTAGCTAGCATATCCACTGCTGTTGTACCCTCAGCTCTCCAGGCCCCACCCACAAAGGGGAGTGGCAGGATGGCTGGAAATGGAGTGGCTTCCATCTTGGGCACAGGTCTACCCTGCCCATCCCAGAGGAAAAGTACAGCCTTCTAGGACCCCCATACCTGCTTACTGCAAGGCCCCGTCTTCCGTATCTGTGTCCTGGCTGTGATCCTGGTAGAGAGGAGGCAACAAGAGGCAATGTATCACTCAGTGTAAACTCATGCTCTGGGGCCCTTTTCTAGGACACAGTGGGTAAGGACAAGATGAGATGGACCTTTTGACTGTCATGGTCATAAACTCATCTGCCCTCCTGCCAGAACACAGCAGTGATGAAAAGGAGAAAGCCTTGAAATCAGCTTAAATCCTGAATCAGCCTTCATGAGCTATCAAACTCTAAGCATGCTTCTTAAGCATTCTACTTATTAATCCCTTTGTGCCTCAATTTCCCAACAGAGTAAAATGTTGGAAGAGTGGTATTTTTCACAACACAAGGAAGTTGTTCTAGTTAAATGAAATATGATAGTGAGAGAGAATAAGGCCTAGCACTCAGTGAGTGTTAACCAACAGTGAGTGTTTCCTCATCAGTCAGCAAAAGGCTTTTAGAAAGTCCCTTTGTGGACTGCTACCTATCTTCCTGTGGCTTCCCTAGGCAATCCTAGTTCTGTTCCCTGGAGTTCTGTAGAACATGTCTGCTCCTTTGAGTCTTCTCTAACACACAGTGAGTATGGAATACAAAATGGGCCTTGGACAGTAATCTCTGAGTTTTGAATGGGACTTCTGGCTGACCGCTATAACAGGTTTACTCTGCTTACTCTTCCCTTTTTCCCCACAAGAAAAAAAAGTCCTGGGAAGGAGAAGAATGAAAGCTCACAGGGAGGTCAATCAGGTCAGAGATTACCCCTTCCGTGCTGCCCTCTACCTTCCTTGCTGCTCCACCCAGCCATTCCCATGATCAAACCCTCACCAGCTCCTCTTCACTGTGTGTCAGCAGCCCTTCCTCATCACCATCATCTCGAGCTTGTGCTTCTCCCTGGGGTGTGCCAGCCTCAGAAGCCGTGTCCTCTTGGGGTGGAGGTGGACGGCTATTACCTCCACTACTGCCACTGCCACCACCACTGCTGCTGCTACCGCCACCACTGCCACTGCTGCTGTCACCCTTCTTCTTGCCATCTTGAGGAAAAAGAAAAGGAGTGGAATCTAAAACTCAGCTTTGGCAACTTCCTAGGGCTGCACCTTAAAGCAAACTAGGTGAGTCCAGAAAAGCAGCATGGTGAGTCCAGATGGACTCAAGTCTATGGACTTCAAGAATTGGAGGCCACCCCAATCCCATTCTCCTACAGGCTGTCCTCTTCCACCCTCTGCCTGTGCTTCCCACCACTGAACTGGGTGAGGACCATAGGGGCTGACCTGGATTGGCCTTCTGCTCTTCAGCAATCTGCTCCAAGCGGCCCAGCAGGGCATCAATGTTGGACTTGATCTGCGTCAGTTCTGTCTTGATGGTCTGCAGTTCACTGCTCTTTACTGTGAGTGGAGGACGGAAAGAGCTTGTCAGTGGGGGGATGCAAGAATATGACACAGATCCCATACCTATTTTGACAACTAGGAAGGCTGATCAATCAATGAACTGTCCTCCCACTGGCCAGGAAAAAAACTGGAGCTTCCTGGGGGCTCCCCCTGTGTTGCTGGGCACTCCCAACTGACCAGCCCAAATCACTGGACATCTCCCAAGACTTCTCAATGCTAGTCTATCTTTTTAAGTGTACAAATGTGGGTCTTCACAATCAGACATATCACCGTATGTCTACAGCAGAATGAATGTGGCATCGTGGGCCTTTGTCCTTACAGCAGAAAAGAAGGCATCATCTCGAAGTAGTGACACTCTCCAGGCCCAACCCAAGTCCCTCCTCCTCACACGTCAGCATTTTCCTCTTAGAAATGCATCAAAATACTCACTTGGTTTTGTAAGAGCTGCAGAACTGTGGGAGATTTGTTCTTTTTATCTATTTTCCAATGTAAAAAAATGTGATTCTATTATTTTGCTACTGACAAAAATAAAAATTATATAGGAAGAAAATAGAGTCACTCACACTTTATCTTGGCTGAGCTGGTGGTGATGGCTGTGGAGCGAGCAAAGAGCTTGACAGGAATGGTAGTTTTGACACGGCGGACCAAGGGTACTGTGACCCGGGGTCGCTTCACTGGGACCGCCCTGGGCACTGGTACTGGAGACAGGCGGCCTCGATAGTCAAAGAGCCTGTGAGGGCAAATCAGCCAGAGGCTGCAGCATGGCCTATAGCCACCAGGGGGCACTGCGGCCCTAGCCTAACCTGAACATTCCTGGTGTATGGGGCTGGAGGTTCAGTTCTATACATCTCTGCCTGCTCTCAAGTCCCAGAGTAAACACAATGGGCTTCTGCAAGCTGATGGCTGCTGGGATCTTCACTACATTCATCTCTCTTACCAGCCAAGGGAGGTGAGAAATGGTAGTGGTTATGTCCCTATACAACAGAGGAACAGATTGAGATGAGCCCCCAAGAAGGAACTGATCACTGCCACACAAGCTTAAAACTCTGCTTCTGTTCAAATGCCACCAAAGCTCAGGTCAGAGTTATCACATCTCCTCAAAGCTGCATGACTTCCCAGCAGACAAAAAGTGGGGAAATGGGGCTTATCCTAAGTCTGCCTGAACTCAATGTTCCTATCTGCCTGTGAGGGCGGTTAGTCAAGACCCTGTGTTTCCCCCTCTACTAGAGGCCACTGTGAAAGTTGAGGATGAGAGAACATGGCTGAAATCACACACTTAAGAAGGTGAGACAAATCAACAGTGAGAGTCTCAGAGAGCCAAGGGCACTGAGATCCTCAACTCCAGGACTCATGACCTCTGAGAAGTGGCTCAGTCCAGGCCCTTTCCCTTGTTCTCAACCCTATTGATCGCCTCACCTGTTTTACGCCCTTTAGAGGAGTTTGTGCAAACAAACCAGAGCCCAGAGCTCCCAGTCTGAATGCTGTCCCTATCATCACCCCTGCCTCTCCAAAAGGCTTTTCTGCCTGCTGACCAGGAAGAAACGTGGTAGGCCATCATGAGTCTCTACTAGCACACCTCAAGTACCATCTTGCTGCAGGAACAGCCCCTCAGGGGTATCCTGGGGCCACTTTCCTGATGATGTCCAGGAGATTTTCTAGCACTGGGCAGTTATATGTCCCATTCCTTGACACTCAAAAAAACGAACCCACAGGCATGGGATGATAGGGGCTGTGATGGTGAGCATCTGAGAATATACTCAGTCTTGGACCCTGCAATTCTGCCAAAGGGAAGGGAGCGGCTCTGGCCTTGGTCAGAATCACTGAACCACGGAATCCCAGAGCTGGAGGAGCCCTGAGAGATCACTTGGTGCAAGTTCATTTCACAGACGAGGAGGGGATTTGCCTCCAAATCACAGAACACATTCAGTGGCAAAGCTAGGATTAGTACCTAGGTCTTCTGACTCCAAGGCTAGGGCACTTTCGACTATACCACACGGTCTCCTAAAAACATGCTTAGGTGAAGAAAACAGAAGCTATTGGTGCTGGACAGTCTATTGTGGGCTGAGCTAGAAGAGAATAGGAAGGAAAAACTGTGGGGCCAGTTTCCATCATGATCTTCATACAACTCCAATGTGGCTGGTGTTGTTTAGTCAAGTGGGAGCCCAGAGCCTCAAGACCAGGGTCTAAACAGCTTGAGGACAGAGAGGAGGCCTCAGCCTACCACTACTAATTCAGACTCCAAATTTTAACTGGCCTCTTGGCTATAAATAGTAAAAGACTCAGACTAAGCTCTTGGGTTTCTGCTGGACAGGCCAACTCAGAGAGGTGAGGAAACTACAAAGGAGGAGCACAAGAATTAGAGTCCCTGTAAAGAGCCCTACACCCTGTTTATATTCAAATGGCTCCATTTATATGCTCTGGGCTGTACAGGCCCCCCAAGTTTCACCCAAGGATTACGAAGATGAGGGGCAGTCAAGAGAGTGGAGACACTGATATGGTGCAGTGTGGTAAGGGAGCTCTGTCCTGGGGCACCAGCAGAACTTGTCCCAGCTCTGCCACTGACTTGCTGGACAACCTTCGATAAAAATGCCTGTGGGTTTCTGTTCCCATTTGGTGGGCTAAGTTGGCTGCACCAGCAATCTCTTGGGACGCTTCCAGCTTGGCTGTTTCATGCCTAGGCACGCCCCTACCCTGCTCACCTGTCGTAGAAGTCGTCCCGGTAGTAATCATAGTCAAAGCTGTAGCCACTAGAGAAACAAAGGGGAGAGGGCCGGTGCTTAGGGATGGCCACTCAGCCCACTTTTCACAGGCCCTCATCTTTGAACTCCTCCCAACAAGGTTCCAGGCTCTGTTACACCAGTATTCCCATCCCATGGAGAAAGAGGAATCAATCCCACCCAGACAGATAGAGAGCCCCACCTGTATATGGCAGATGCTGCTCTCTTTAGTCCCTTGGGTCTGTTGGGCTTGGGCTCTCCAGCCATGTTGATGTCTGCATGGAGAGAACAGGCAGAGTTTGAATGCTAGTATGACAACAGCATCCCCACACACATGTAGCAACTTATATGCTTGCATGTACACACGGGCTTAATTCACATAGTATACACTCATTCAAATAACAGCAAATACTGACTCATACTCAGACATCATATAAATAGGCCTCTTTATAAATTCACGTACATACACATGTTCACAAATTATCACATACACATCATGTGTATCTGCATTATCATGCAGTCATAGGTATTGGGCTACATATAAAGACACACTAACATATCCATGCATAAAGATACACACACACACA